TTAATAAAGGTATAATAAAATAAATAATACAAGTAAAGCTATCAAGAATTCAAGACTGAGTTAACATTTGAAAACCAATCAAGTAGTTCAGCATAAAGCAGATTGAAGGGGGAAGTAATCTAATGGATGCAGAAAAAAAGCATTTGAGAAAGTCTGGCATTCATTGATAATAAAGGTATTTTTTTGTAAATTAAGAAGATAAGGAATCTTTCTTAATCTGGTGATTTAGATGTGCAAAACCTACCATAAACAATCATGCATAGTCAGTGGCAAAATATTTAATGTTCGTCCTTTGTAATTCTATTTAACGTTGTACCAGAGATCCAGAGCTACATATAACTCAGAAAAAATAAATAAATAAAACCATAAAGAAAATAAAAACATCATTACTAATAGATCGTAATTACACACAATTCTGAGATAAAACCAGAAAATATTAGATTTATGAATATAATATGTAATAAAAATGCTGGATATGATGTTAATGTTCTGAATTCAATTGTATCTGTCTATATTAGCAATGAACATTTATAAATAAAAATTTAAATATCAAAAATTTACATTCTGGAGATTTATCTCAGTGGTAGAGCATTTGCCTAGCATGCAAAAGCACTGGGTTCAATCCCAGAATCAAAGGAAATTAACTAAAAATTTAAAAATCTGGATAAAAACTAGACAAGACACAGACAACTTAAATAATTTTAAGGGAAATGGAAAAGATGTAAATGAAAATAATATGTTCACAACAAAACAAAAATTTTCCTCAAACTGATAGAAAAACTAAACTGCATCTGAATCTCAACAGCTTTGCTACATGTGTAGCTAAAATTTGCATATCAAAAATAAACTAGAATATGACTCTCTTTAAAAAGAATCTCAGAGGCTGGAGAGATGGCTCAGAAGTTAAGAACATTTGCTGTTCTTCCAGAGGACCCAAGTTTGATTCCTAGCACCTACGTGGCAGCTAACAACTATCTGTAGCTCCAGTTCCAGGGATTCTGATGCCCTCTTTTGGTCTCTGTGGGCATTACACACACATGGTGCACTTACATACATTCAGGCAAAACACTCATAAAATAAAAAAATTTTAAAAATATATTTTTAAAAATTATGGATCTCTGTTCATCAAACATAAGAGAAAAGCTAGCAAGAACTAACTAAAAAGTGTCTAATATATGACATATATAAAAATTGCTACAAAGTAATAAGGAAAGTATAGAAAATTCAGTAGGAATACAAGAAAAGATCTGAATAGGCAGGTTAGAAAAGAAAACACAAAAAGATATTACACATGAAAAGACATTCACCAAGTTTATGAGAAGTCAGGAAAATGCAAATAAATAACCACAATAATAAATCACTACAATCTCAACAGAATGACTAAAATTTGAAAAATCAAGAATAATAAATGTTGGCGAAGACTGAGAAAAACTAGAACATTGTAGCATTCTTGGATAAAAATAAACTGATGTAAACATTTTGGAAAAACATTTAGTAACAATCATTAACATTAAATGTTGTATATGTCAGAACCATTATTCAATGCCTTAGCATACATCAAACAGAACTGGTACACCAGGAAATATGTACAAGGATATTGTAACCATTTTATTAAAATTCATCAAAAACTAGAAACCTATTATCATTTGTCAAAAAGAAAGTAGACAGTATAGGCTCACAATGAAATACTACATAACACTTCACTATAGCTATATATTTAAAAAAACTATAAATGAAGTCAATAACATAATATTGAGTGAAAAAAGTTAAATTTGAAAATATATTTTGTAGCCAGGCATGGTGGCACACACCTTTAATCCCAGCACTCGGGAGGCAGAGGCAGGTGGATCTCTGTGAGTTCAAGTCCACCCTGGCCTGGTCTACATAGTGAGTTTCAGGCCAGCTGGTGCTACAGACAGAGAGACTCTGTCTCAAAAAAACCAAAAAAAGAAAAGAAAAAAAAAAGAAACTATATTTTGTACAGCAAAACTAGGCTGGGCGTGGTGGCACACGCCTTTAATCCCAGCACTCAGGAGGCAGAGACAGGCGGATCTCTGTGAGTTCAATGCCAGCCTGGTCTACACAGTGAGTTCCAGGACAGCAGGGGCTACAGGGAGACCCTGTCTCAAAAAGACCCCCCCAAAAATAAGAAAAAAGAAAAGAAAAGCAAAACTAAATAATTATGTTTAGTAACCCAAACTTGTCTGCAAATGAACAGCAAGGAATTACTTAACCCTAAAATGTTTACCTATATAAGGATGAAGTATTTAGAGATGTTTCTCAGTGAATGAAATATTCTATATTTAATCAAGTTCATATTGTATGCTGATGTACTTTATAATGCTTGTTATGCATACTGTGTATGTGCATTTTCAAAGATTTTTCACAATTGATTCACAAGTTATACAATAAAATACTTTAAAATAGAATTATATGGAATTTTTTTAGTCAATTAGCAGTATGCTTCATTATATTGAAGTAAAATACAGGAAAATATCTGTAGATGGGAAAAGTTAGAAGAAAATCCTTCAAAGTAAAATTACATGTATGCTGGATCTCTTTAGTGTCAACTTGACACACCTGGGTTGAGGGCGCCTCCATTGGGGAATTTCCCCCATAGAGCTGGCATCTTCTTAATTGTTGAATGATATGGGAGGGCCCAGCCTACTGTGGGTGGTGCCACCCCTGGGCAGGTGGGCCTGTGTGGGATAAGAGAGCAAGCTGAGCAAGGGCATGGGGAGCAAGGCAGTAAGCAGCGTTCCTCCATGGCCTGTGCTCCAGCTCCTGCCCCCAGGTTCCTGCCCTGAGTTCCTACCTTGGGCTCCCTGATGAACTGTGACCTAGAAGATGTAAGCCGAATAAACCCTTTCCTCCCCAAGTTGGTATTGGTCAGAGCATTTTGTTACAGCAATGAAGAAACAAACTAGGACAACATGTGAGAGGGGGAAATCTGAAGTTTTTAAAATTCAAATTTACTTATTCAATGACAATTTTTCTATAATGGAGCAACATTTTCAAATCTAGTTTTAATTGTAGAAAAGTTACTTGGAGTAAAAGCTCTTGGTTAAAATTTAGACAGTGTTGACTCTTAAAAGGTCATAAAGTTCCAACCCCTTTTGGAAATTCAGTAACAAACTATGCTTTTACCTTTGTCATTCCAGCGGTAAAGGCGAAGGGGCTACAGATACTCAGAATCCACTCCAGAGATGAAGGAAGTTGTCTATAAAGTACAGTGATTCCCAGACACCCCCAAAAGAGGGTAAAAAGAAACACAAGCAGATTCGAGAGGACAGCTTTCTGTGACAGCACATTCATCAGGAATGCTAAAGCGATCTGAAGGAGAGGAAACAGCTGTTATATGGATGAGCTCATTGAAGATCATTGGCATCACAGTAAAACCAGGCTCTTTATTCCAAAAACATGCTATCAGTGAGGACGTGACGGAAGCATGAAACTACGGCTGTGTTCCGCCCTCAGCTCTTTTTATTATTTTTTTTAAGAGAATTCTTTTCTTTTTTTGTCCCAAATATTTGCTGAGCTTTTGTGGTTATGGGAGAGCCAAGGAGAGCTGGAAGACTACTGAGGGTTAGATAGAAATCTAGTATTGGAAACATTGGGCAGAGCTAAATTGGCGTTACTAAGGAAAATACCTAGCTATATAACTTGTGCAGAAAACACCCTCGAAGGTGGGAAAAAACAAGAGGCCATTGTCCGGGGTTAAGAAGAGTGATTTAAAAGTTGGAGATATATTTTTAAATGGCTACGATAGAATTGGGATCTTTAGGGTGGAAAATGATGGTCCAGATCTCAAAACAACTTTAAAAGCCCTTGGGAGGAGAAGCCATGACTGAATAAAGTGCCTGTAGCAGAACTGTGCCAGCAAGAAGGGTTAAAGAAAAAATAAGAATACTGTGGTGCCCACCTGTAGCTAAGGGAGACAACCGCTATTGTTAAAAATGATGGCCAAATTTGTTTTCTCCCCTTATCTAGGAGCCTTTGAGAGGGAACTGACACTGATTCTAACCACTCCAACAGCTATCAAAATGTCTGAAGGCAAATCCTGAATCCACCACTCTCAAGTCCAGCCTTGGAAGACAAAAGAAAAAATGAGGAGGCACCCAGTAGAGGGATGCTTTTAGAAGCTCTCATCAAGAAATTCCAATGGACTCTCATATGAGCATTTGAAATATGCCCTGTTCTGACATTTTTCTAGTTCCCTGTCTAGAACTTGTAATGCTAACTACTCTTGCCTTTACTTCTCCTTCACATCCCCTATTCACCAGTCAAGGACTTTCTTTTCCCCCTACAGATAAGAGTTATACAATTTGGGAGTCTTTTAGATGGACCCACTGAAGGGGTACCCCAATTGCCTCATCCTGAGTCCCTGTTCAGCATAGAAGAAGCCAGAGCTGTCTGTGTCCAGATTCCCTATCTGCCACAAGCTGGGTAACCTCTTCAGAGTATGGTGTGATAAGAATAGGAGGTAGGAATTGGCTAGACAGTTAGTGTAAAAAGACCCCAAAGAAAAGTAGCCAGTTTCTTGGCTAAAAGTCAAATATCCTTGGGCCTCTTAGGAACATACTCTGTTCCAAAAGCCAAAAATGTCGAAAGTATTTGGGTGCCCTTATCTAATCCTTAAAATATTTTAGGGTTACCTCTTCAGAGGGGGGAATGTTAGAGTAGCAAAAAACCCCATAAAAAAAAGAAAAAGAAGAAGAAAGAGTACATGAAGTTGTCAGAAAAAAGTGATGGGGAG